ACAAGCAATACAATTTTATTAATGTAGTTTACGCATTTACAGTAAGGTTGTTACGCTTGGTTTGTTCAGGTATTTGAATACAAATCAGTTTTATTACCTGCATGGAAAATCATCAACTTTCACAATGACATGAAAGTTCAGTGCACGTAATACTTCTTACCTCTTAATTTTGGTGAAGAGATCAGGACCCAGTCCCCAGGTTCGTCAATAAAAGTTTCCTGTACAGGTTTAACGTCAGCTAAAGCTTACATTAGCACAATGTTTAATTGTTATTCAGGCTAACCACTGGCAATCAGGATTTGAAGCCAGCAAACTGGCCTCAGTCAGGAAGGGGGAAGATCTGGATAGAGAACACAGTTTACAACTCTATCTCTTGGTCAGTGTTATTGAATGAATGTCATTTTTGCACTGGCCCAAAGTCAGCAAAGATGAATTTTATTTTAACATCAACTTCATCCTCACCTGAAATATTCAATTTTTGGATTTAAAAGTTCAATGTAATATAGTTATCTCAATATAAACAGATATACTAATAGGGTATTTTGAAAGTTACAATGGTATAAGTTACACTTAAACTCTACTACATACATTTATGGGATCAAAATTATTATTTTATATTAGAACTACAAAGTACCTTTTATAACATTCTAAGGATTCCATGATCATAGCTGTTCCTTTTCCATTTTCTTCACCCTCATTAATATAACAGTCATGCCCACTGGAGTAATTTTCACTGGCATCATTTGCACTTGATCCCCCATTCATTTCAATATCTTCCTGAAGAAGACTCAGATTTTGTTCATTCTTCATCTGAATATCCATGCTTTCTACCATTATTTTACCATTTGCCATTTCCAAATAGTCACTCATTTTGAGAAGAACCTTTTAAGGTCAATTGCCACAACAAAATATTCCAGAGTTCAAATTCCAGAACTGAGAAGTTCATTCTTCAGTGAAACGAGACAACATCTGTACTTTGCAAAATCAGATGCAGTTTTGTTATTTTCCAAACCATATTTGTGCAATATCAGTGTTCATTATTTTTCACTTCTTCACTTTTGAATTCATAAACCTAGAGGAGGAAAAAAAATCAAGCTGAATAAAATGTGACAAAAATTAATGAATTAGAATGGATCTACTGAAGTATGATAAACACTTCAGTCATGTAGGCCTCATATGGTATTGTTGGACTGCTACTCCAAGCATTCCTCACAATTGGCTATGCCACCTAAGACTATTGGAACTTGCACTTTAATGACATTTGGAAGTCCACAAGATTCCTACCTCCAGTCTAAAAGGTGAAAAAAGCAAACTGTCTTATTCTTCATGTCTGGACTTCTCTGGGGAAAAAAAAGGCACTTAAAAAGCTCTAACTGTATTTTTATGTAAATACAAGTTTGTTAAGGGGATAATTATGTTGAAGCAAAGGAACATGAAGTAGTTCAGTAGTCCCATTAGTGACTGTTATCCAACTGAGCTATGACCCATTCTATAGTGCACCACAGTAATACAATGCTGTGAATTTTTCAGATCAGGCAAAAACAGACTTCGAGCATGCAAAATCTAAATAGTTTTCAACTTGAACTCCAAGATCCTGTTTGGAGTCAGGTGCAAGACAAGAAAAGGTGGGTGTGGGGATCAGATACTAATTAACTGATTAAGTTAACTAGAAAAGCTGAAAATGAATATATGCTTATCTGTTTGCAAGCCATGTTGTGCACAATCAGTTCTTACTGCTCATTTCTAGATGAAAGGAGGGTAGTACAGATAGATTGTCTAAAAATGTTTTCAAAAACTTAATGCTGGTACTCTTTGGGAGACTAGATGGAACTCCAATGAACCTAACATTTACATACCCTAACTGCTAAGTTTCCAGAGATTTTACATTTTTTTCCAAGTTCTCAGAAATATATACCATTCTTTTTCTCAGCAGCTAGAGATACATGCAAGGTATTCAATTTAAAAGGAATTACAATTTATGGACATTGCTAAACCACATAACTAAATGATAGCCATATCTGCATTCTTTCTATTAGGAAAACTATAGATAATTTCTGCTCTCCTGGCTCCTACTTTACTGAAAAATAATGCAACACCTATGAATTATTGCTTTGGCCCTGTGGGCAGAGAAACCCTAAAGGAAGGGCTATAGTTATTAGTTGTGTTCAGTAAGAAAGGGGGATTTGCAGAGTCGAGGAGCTGTAGTTGCCAGGAATAAGAATTAGGTCCCTTTCATTTTAGATAAGGTAGTAGGATTTTCAATTATGTACAGTAATTACAAAACCCCATGACAGGTTCACCTTAGGGTTGTCATGAGTCTGAAATTACTTGAAGGCACAGAACAAATCGTAGTTAGGAGGGGGCAAAAGGGTAAATTCCTTAAACATGCATAGTATTGGGTGGCAAGTCTCCAATTCTATGTGCATTTAAACATTCCACTGAAATCAGAAGACTTTACTTCTAAGTATACATTGGTCCAAAACACACTACAGAAATAATCCAGTTTGAAACTACTTTAACTGCCCTAGCTCAGTGCTAGGGAATCCTGGGAACTGTAGTTTATTGTGGCACCAGAGCTCTCTGACAGAGAAGGCTAAATACCTCACAAAACTTCAGTTCCCAGGATTCCCTAGCACTGAGCCAGGGCACTTAAAGCAGTCTCAAACTGGATTATTTCTGCAGTGTGTTTTGGACCATAGTTTAGACTGTAAAAATAATCTGTTGTTTTTAAAAATGAACAGTGAAAACAGTCAGAACTTATACTGCCTTATAGAATTAGCGTCTGCTGCATATAGACTGCCTGAGCATTAGATTATCTTGTAGGCAAATGTTTTATCTTATGTCTCAAAAAGCAGCACAGCTGAAATCACAATGAAGTTAAATGGATCAAGAATTGACAGGTGATTAGTATGGACCAGGAGTTGGCAACCTACCTTATATTTTAAAAAGAAAGGTTGGCATAAATTTACATCACAGTCCCTCCCAGCTAGCATCAAATGCATGAAGTACCTAGGTCCGGAATATCCCACATGAACTCATACTTTGTGTCTTCCTCTTCTAATGATAATCCTCAGCCATTAGCATCTGGACACCTCTAGAGCTATAAAATACAAGAGGAATACTGGAAACCCCCAATAATTTTCTCTGCAAATATTTCTGAAATACAAAATCACTAAAGTGGGCCACAGCTGAGCCAACCTTCTAATGCAGAAGTAGGCAACCTTTTCCCCCTTTAAGGGCCGACGGACTTCAGCTCCCAGAAGCCTTAGCCATGTTGGTCAATAGTCCCATGTTGGCCAATAGCTCCCGGGAGTCTGGGAACTGAAGTCCCTCAGCTCTTAAAGGGGAAAGGTTGCCTACC